GACCCCCCCTTCAGGTAGTTGAAGGCTATCAAATCTGCCCCCTCACTCTTCTGTTCTGCAGACTAAATAACCCCCGTTCCCTCAGCCTCTCCTCGTAAGTCATGTGCCCCAGCCCCATAATCATTTTTGTTGCCCTCTGCTGGACTCTCTCCAGTTTGTCCACATCCCTTCTGTACTGGGGGCACCAAAACTGGACACAATACTCCAGATGTGGCCTCACCAGTGCCGAATAGAGGGGAATAATTACTTCCCTCGATCTGCTGGCAATGCTCCTACTAATACAGCCCAATATGCTGTTGGCCTTCTTGACAACAAGGGCACACTGCTGACTCATATCCAGCTTCTCGTCCACTGTAATCCCCAGGTCCTTTTCTGCAGAACTGCTGCTTAGCCAGTTGGTCCCCAGCCTGTAGTTGTGCATGGGATTCTTCCTTCCTAAGTGTTGAACCTCATCAGATTTTTTTTGGCCCAATCCTCCAATTTGTCTAGGTCACTCTGGATACTATCCCTACCCTCCACTGTATCTACCTCTCCCCCCAGCTTAGTATCATCTGCGAACTTGCTGAAGGTGCAATTCATCCCATCATCCAGATCATTAGTAAAGATTTTGAACAAAACCAGCCCCAGGACCAACCCCTGGGGCACTCCGCTTGATACCAGCTGCCAACTAGACATTGAGCCATTGATCACTACCCATTGAGCCCAACAATCTAGCCAGCTTTCTATCCACCTTATAGTTCATTCATCCAGTTCATACTTTTTTTTTCTTACTGGCAAGAATACCGTGGGAGACCATATCAAATCTTTGCTAAAGTCAAGATATATCACATCCACTGCTTTCCGCATATACACAGAACCAGTTATCTCATCATAGAAGGCAATCAGGTTGGTCAGGCATGACTTGCCGTTGGTGAATCCATGTTGACTGTTCCTGATCACTTTCCTCTCCTCCAAGTACTTCATAACTTCTCCAAGTGCAGTTATGTAACAAAAAATAAATAAATCTACATTTGTAAGTTGCATTTTAATGATAAAGAGATTGCACTACAATACTTGTCTGTGGTGAACTGAAAAAATACTATTTGTAATAAAAAATAATATAAATTGAGCAGTGTACACTTTGTATTCTGTGTTGTAATTGAAATCAATATATTTGAAAATGTAGAAAAATATCCAAAATATTTAATAAATTTCAATTGGTATTCTGTTTGACAGTATGATAAAAATTGCAATTACTCACGATTAATTTTTTTGTTAATCGCGTCAGTTAACTGCGATTAATTGACAGTCCTAATTAACTTAATTTAGATCCGTTTATTAGACTTCTGTATATTGCTTGCCTAATACCACGTTAAATGGAATTCTCTTATAGTTTCTCTCTCAATGGGGATTATTGTAGAAAAACTTAAAACTTCTTTTCTGTTCACTCCTTTAACCAGTATAAAGTAGACAAAAATATATCTTTGACTTGCCAAGAAGTGCAGCCTAAAGATTGGACAAATTTTGTCTGGAGCCTAAGGCTTAGTATTTTAAATAGACCCTCTGATCTTTTTTGTCATTGTAAAACAATGTTTGACTTCAGTGATCCATGTATTCACTGTAATCTCATATTCTGTGGAAGAATCTCTCAATATCAAGAATTACTCCTTTTCATGAACATTGTTGAATTCTATTAGTTAGTTTGATAAATCTGCGCTATTATATTTAAAAAGAAATAAAAATAAAAGAGGGAGGCAATGAAAGGAAGTAAGGAAAAAGAATATTCAACCGCCAGGAAAATACTAGCCCATTTTAAATTAAGGATGTTAAGCAGGAACACGTGTTGTCTTGTAAACTTGGGTCAGAGGAACCTGGGTCAACACTGGACAACTCACTGTTTAGAAGAATTGTGATACACCTCTACCCCGCTATAACGTGACCCGATATAACACGAATTCGGATATAACGTGGTGAAGCGGTGCTCCGGGAGGGCGGGGCTGCGCACTCCCGTGGATCAAACCAAGTTCAATATAACGCGGTTTCATCTATAACGTGGTAAGATTTTTTTGGCTCCCGAGGACAGCGTTATATCGAGATAGAGGTGTACTTGCTACCAGTGTGTGCATGGTAAGGGAAAGGGTAACTCCTCCTTTGCCTCTCATAGAGCTTCTCTCCTGCGACACTGCTCTGCCTTATCAGTCACCATCTCATTTTAGCATAATGTGAGTAGGTGAGTGGATTTGTTAGTTGATGCTTGCATCATGTGAAGTATAGGAATTTGCCTCTATGTGAAGAAGCATGGTCTGGTGTTTGAAGTACAGGACTCAGAATAATGAGATCTGAATTTTGCCATATAGTTGGTGTGTGTCATTTAACCTCTCTGCCTCAGTTTAGTACAATTTTTTAAGTAGGAAATTATCTACCACATGTTGTATGGAGTTTCATACATTTATCATAGAATCGTAGAACTGGAAGGGACCTCGAGAGGTCTAGTCCAGTCCCCTGCACTCATGGCAGGACTAAGTATTATCTAAAACATTCCTGAAAGGTATTTGTCTAACCTGCTCTTAAAAATCTCCAATGATGGAGATTCCACAACCTTCCTAGGCAATTTATTCCAGTTCTTAACCACCCCGACAGTTAGGAAGTTTTTCCTAATGTCCAACCTAAACCTCTCTTGCTGCAATTTATGGCCATTTCTTCTTGGCCTATCCTTAGAGGTTAAGAAAAAAAAAATCTTCTTCTCCTTGTAACAACCTTTTACATATTTGAAAACTATTATCATGTCCCCTCTCAGCCTTCTCTTTTCCTAAACAAACCCATTTTTTTCAATCTTCCGTCATAGTTCATGTTTTCTAGACCTCTAATCATTTTTGTCATTCTTCTCTGGACTCTCTCCAATTTGTCCACATCCTTCCTGCATTGTGGCTCCCAGAATTGGACACAATGCTCCAGTTGAGGCCTAATCAGTGCAGAGTAGAGTGGAAGCATTACTTCTTGTGTCTTATTTACAACATTCCTTCTAATACATCCCAGAAGGATGTTTGCTTTTTTGCAACAGCGTTACACTGTTGACTCGTATTTAGTTTGTGGTCCCCTATGACCCCCAGATCCCTTTCCGCAGTACTCCTTTCTAGGCAGTCATTTCCAATTTTGTATGTGTGCCACTGATTGTTCCTTCCTAAATGGAGTACTTTCCATTTGTCCTTATTGAATTTCATCCTATTTGCTTCAGACCATTTCTCCAGTTTGTCCAGAGGTAATGTCATGTAATGCAATATCATATTTTTTCTGTAAACCTATATCCATGTGTACTACTTTTGCTACTCATTACTACTTTGTCTATGTCTGAATCCCTGGATACTGATCCTGCAAGAGCAAGATATTCCAACTACTGGGTTTTTTTGTACCTTGTTTTGCTACACAATCTGTCGTATCACATGGTACACTCTCTACTGATTGTCCGCATAGGACTTCAATATGCTGAACATTTGTCTCCACAGTTGCAAAAACTAGCTCATGACCCAGTGGGCAAGTTTAGCAGTGGTATTTCAAGGGTTCTCAAACTTAATTGCACCTCGACCCCCTTTTGACAACAAAAATTACTACATGACCACAGGAGGTGGGGCCGGAGCCTGAGCCCTGCCGTGGTGCCACTCCAGACAGGGGGGCCAAAGCCAAAATCCAATCCCCACCGCCTTGTGCAGGGGAGCCAAAGCCGAAGCCTGAGCCCCGCTGCTAGGGCTGAAGCACTTGGGCTTTGGCCCTGGGTGATGGGGCTTGGGCTTCGACCCTAAGCCCCAGCAAGTCTAACGCAGCCCTGGCGACCCCCATTAAAACGGGGCTGTGACAGACTTTTGGCTCCCAACCCACAGTTTGAAAATGGCTGATAGACCACTGACTGGTACAGGTATTTAAGACCTTATCAGGGCCGGCTCCAGGCACCAGCCTGGCAAGCAGGTGCTTGGGGCGGCCACTCCGGAGAGGGGAGGCACGTCCAGCTATTCGGCGGATGGTCCTTCACTCCTGCTCGGAGCGAAGGACCTCCCGCTGAATTGCTGCCGCAGATCGCCATCGTCGGGTTTTTTTTTTTTTTGGCTGCTTGGGGCAGCCAAAACCCTGGAGCCGGCCCTGCTTATCATAGAACCCTATTCAAGGCTTATCTCGTCACAGTGTTAAAAATACTTTGGGGAGAAAGTGAAGTAGTGGGGAGAATACAACTAGGCAAAGTTGATTGAACCCAAATGTGTGTTAACCATGGAGGAATGAGAATTGTAAGAAGATGATTCTAAGTTGACATATGGGTATGTCTGTGTTAGGAGCACCTTACCACTATAGGAATTAGGGTATATTACACTGGCAAAGTGCTTCTAGTGTGGATGCAGCTATACTGGCAAAGCTGTTCCCCCCACCCCCTGTGAGAGAAAGAAGTCATACTGGTAAAAGTGCAGTTTTGCCAATATAGCTGTATGTATGCTTCAGATTTCTGATGGCACAGCTGGAATTGCACTTCTTCATACCACTCACCGACATGACATAATGCCAACAGCAATCTGTAGTGTAGACTTAGCCATAGAGAGTAGAAGATATTTGACAGTTGAGCGATAGTGAGAGAAAATGGGAAAAACACCAAAGCAGCCCCAGCCTAGAAGAAGCACATGTTCATGAAAAATAAAAACATTCTCTGTAAAAATATAGCTATAGAGAGAATGTTTTTCTTATATCTACATATATAAAATGTTCTGTTCCTTTTGCTATGTATTGGTATTTCTGATTATGTAATTATTCAGTTACTAATACAGTCCAGTATCTGAAAGCCCTATAGAGAGCGATTTGGGGAGAAAAATAGAACATAGCTTCCTTTTAGTTCTGCTGAAATAAAGTGGATGGAGGTTTTTTGGGGGGTGGGGGAAGGGCAGAATGGAAAAATATCTTTCTAAAACAGGGACCTATGGTATCTGTGAATCTACAAGCATCCTTTAAATGTGTTAATAGAGTTCCTTTTGTCTTTTCTTTTTCAGAGCTAAATACCACAAATTAAAATACGGCACAGAATTGAATCAGGGAGATATGAAGCCTCCAAACTATGATTCTGGTAAGAATTTAAGAGTGAGGGAAATATGGTATAAAGTTCTCCTGTAATTTTAGTTACAGTTTGTTGAACAACTTAGTGGACACAAAGAGGATAGTAAAGATTGCTTAATGTTGCAAAAAACAAATGTTAGCCAATGCAGTTTGTTACACTGATATTATAGGTACAGTTTGTTTCTTCAATTAGACCATCAAATGAGTTGAAGTAAAAAATGGATGCTGCAGAATATATCTATTCTCTCCTCTTCAGATCAAAATTCAAGAAAGTTCTGGAGTCACAGAAAGATGTGGAAAACACATCTGGAGAATCTTATATTGGAAGAATTGTTGTGCATTAACAATAACAGTGTAATGCAATAGTAATGAATTCAAAATACTTAGTACATCATTTCCTGATTCATGATCTTGTTTGGATTCCAAAAAAATTGAAACAAACATGTGTTAGAGGTAAACTAAAGTTGGCAGTACATACTATAGAATTTTATAAAATTCCAATGACAACTGGAAAATAAATATATAACAAATGGTGAACACAAGTTTGGAACAGAACAGTTCTCCCGTAGAGTGTATCTATGGATAGCTTTCTTGGGTTGTCCCCCCAGAAGATGAATACTTCTCATAAAGAAATGGAGTGATTTTGAGCCACAAAAGAGGAGGAATCGGAATTCCTTTTGTTCTGATCAGCAAAATAAACCTTACCAAATGGACTTCCCCCAGGATCCAGATTATGCAACAAGTCCTTGAGAGGAGGAAGGAATAAGCAGAAATTATTCCACAACTTTATTCTTCCATACAGCCAAAAAAAAGAAAAAAGCCTACATGAAAGTCATTTCTGCACACTTCACCCCTGCCATTCACTGTCCTGGTTAACTGAGTCCTGGGCAAATCCCTATTTTACTGGGTGCTGAAGATGGTCTAAAAACACTTACCTATCAAATTCTCAACAACACCCTTGTCCCTTCCCAAACTACGCAAAATACAATGAAGCACAAACTGAGGCATCTTATTTCTCATCTCTTACAAAATAGTGCCACTCGGCTCTTGTACCCAGACTGGAAGAATACTGAATTCTGTTAGATCCTACATGTAGCTGCTTAAAAGAATGGAGGTTCTTGCACCATATGGGATATAAAGCTGGTTTTTCATATGCTTTCAGGATGGAGATTTTTCTATTATTTCTAGTCCATGCGAGTTGTCCTTGCTTTACTGCACATAGATCCACGCACATCTGCATGCTTCTCTTGGACCAAGTCAGAAAAAATGTTGAGGCTTATTTCCAGTGATACATCCTGTTTGTCCCCTCTGTGATACCTTGGAGGTTCTAATGATTCTGGTTATAATTCTCCTAATCAAGGGATTCAACTCTTATCTGTATTTAGGTGACATTCTCAAAGAGCTCTTCTGTGCCATTTGGCAAGCAGTCCAAGTTCTTTCAATCTCCTTCCTGAAGGATAATGGATCTGTCATCAATTCTGGGGGGAAGCAAAGATCTCTCTGAGATGTCTTTACTTCAACATTAATATAGACAACCTCCAGGTTTCCTGTCTGAAGAGGAGTTAGTATGAATTTACTTCAGTCTTGATGCATAAAATTCTCTTGGCTTTTATCTAGCACAGGTTTTGATAATTGTAGGATGGATCCAGCTGTGTTCAGCTGTCTTCAGAAAATCAATGTCTAAATGACTGATCATTTCTCATTGCTAGTCCTGAGCAAGCTTGTAGATTCAAAGTAATAATAGTACTTAACATTCATATGGCACTTTTATATGTATTTATTTTTAAGACTGAGCTGACAGGGCAGCAGCACATTTGTTTATGCCATAATAGCTTTATCTGGGTTAAAGAAAAAACTTAGTTGTGGTTTTAAATAAAAGATTATTTTCAGGTGAAAATTTGATGAAAATATGTTGAATGACTATTAAAATAACCATGGCCGGAAGAACACTGCCAATATTGTCTAAACAAAAACAGCTAAATATTTTTTTCCTTTCCCACAAATCATTGAAATATGGCTGAAGTTTAAGTTATCTGTAAGTAGGCCTGACTGAGAGATGTCTCCATGACCAAATCTTAGACGTTGGTTGGGTAAACTTTAAGGATTGATATCGTGTCAATATCACACCTTATTGGTTCCACCAATAAGGTTTTTTTGTAATTATTTTGTTCATTTTATAAGAACCTAATTAACCTTAAAATATGTGATCACTATAGAAAACACTGGTACAGAATTTCAGATATATGCATATGACCGCATCCTTGTGAAGAAAAGGAGTGAAAACCCATCATCTAACTGGTTCCATATTGGGAAATAATGGTAATATCAAGGTGCTGATGACAAGTATAACTTGTTCTCAGAATATAGTAGTATGCTGATGGCAGTCTTTATAGTATGTTCTCATAGGTAATACTGCAGAGCTGCACTTATTTTAAGAGCTTTAAAAATAAGACTGAAAAAAACTGATTTGAATGAAATCTTTTCCAGATGAAGGGAATGAAACAGAGGTTCAGCCCCAACAAAATAGTCAACTAATCTGGAAACAAGGGCGACAGCTGCTGAGACAGTAAGTGTCAAAGTTCAAACAAGGGAGCTAGATACAAACAGGATTGGAAATTGAATGCGTCACTGGGCTTTTCTTAAAGATTTCCATTAGACTTTTCTCTTTCATGAAAAGAGTGGCAGAGTTGGGTTAACTTTTCCTTTTGTCACTCAACTTTTCCAAAGTTTGAAAAGTTTTGATAAGTTGCAGAATAGAAAAAGTTAAAAGTCAGAGGGGGGCAAACTACTCACCACTTTTCATATGCTTTCAGTGGCAAAAAGGAAAAAAATTGGAGAAAAGTAGTGGGGGGTTAAAATTTGGTTTAAGAAAATTCACAAAAATCTAATGAAAAATTTAAAATCTTTTTCACAATTTGTTTTCAATTTCAAAGAGCTTCCAATCCAAAAGGACTAGAACACCACCGTCTGTGTTGTGGTTTTCAGTTCTTGACATATTTAACTTTTTAGAGCAAGAGTTGGCTCCATATAATAATCTTCCTGCTATTTATTGTGATTATTGCAATACATTTAAAATAACAGCAGTGAGAACATACAATAGTAATCTACAGTGATTTTGAAATGCTGTAATGGAAGGTGCGTGCACTTTGATGAAACGGGGTCAAAATTTATATATTTTATCCAAGTGACTGTCCCCATAACTATGCAATTTCACCGCAGTTATCAGTTAACAGCCCCTTGCTTTAAATGGTCTGGTTCTTGTTGCAAAGCAACGTCAGTGAAAGGTCCTCTATTGTGTAACCCAGTCTGTCCCCACATAAACCCTATACCCTATTCTGTCAGAGTCAGGTTCCGGTGATTTTCATGTCATGCTGCAAAGCTTACCTGTGTTTCCATACTTTTGTGTTGGGGAGGCCTGAGTGGGCAGAACTGTGTAGAAGAAAAGTCTGGGGGTTTTTTTTGGTTTTTTTGAAAGGCCTTATAACTTTTGGCACTGGCCAGTTTTTTTGTTGAATGGATTATTATTTAATATATTGTATGTGTATCCATAGTTTCTGATGGGCACATTTTAAATAAACAAATATTTTCTTGGCTAGGACTCAATGGTTTGAGGACAAGTCTCCCTCTCTGAATCATAGATAAAGAAGATTGTGCTGTTATATACATGATTCAGCATCATATATTATAAAATTGATGCTTAAATTAAATACAGACTTAATTTTGTATAATTAACTTATGGGACTGCCAGAAATTCAGCACTGACTCTTTCTCCCACCAGACTGGCGACAATGAGGATGTAATTGTTGTTGTAAATGCAAGGAGTGGCTTGTATTAATAGGGGAAAAACAAATGCCCTAGTTTGTCATAGTCATAGTGTGTTACTAAAATGATGTAATACATGACACTTACATCCTCAGAGACCTTTACAGTATTGACCAATTAATCCTCATAACACCTCTGTGAGGTCAGTAACATTAACTCTATTTTACAGATGAGGAAAGAGACTGAAAGATTGACTCACCCAGCACCATGCAGCATATTACTGGTATAGCCAGTTTTAGAACTCATGCATCCCAATCCCAGGCTCAGTTTATTAGATCGCACTTTCACCTCTTATGCACGCTAGCCAAATGCACGTTCTGCAGGAATATTTAAGATTAATAAAATGATTAAGTAAGACTAGATCTGTACAAAATACATTACATCGTAAAATCATATGTTTGTCCTATTATAGCTACAGTAACAGAATGGGAAGTTGACACAATAGGTGTTTACAGGCTTTGTCTAATGGTCATCTAAGGGACAAAATTTAAGTTTTACTTTTTTTAAGTTTGGTTTAGATTTCCATGAACTTCTCTTGATGAATAAAACGGGTTGTGGTATGTTGTATGCAACTGACATTTGTATGAATAAATTGCAGATATTTTAAGTTAAAGTCCTTTTCCATCTTTTTTGGTAAATGTAATGAATAACGTATTGTATAAACACTGACTACTAGGCTCTTTGATTTTCTCAGTGACTGTAGAGACTGGTACTGCAAGAGACGATCCCCTCTGCAGCTGGTACAAGACAATTTCTTAGAATGTTTCATTAGCGCAGTACCGTGCTTTGCTACACATTGTACTGAAGATGAGTTTAGGGAGAAGCTTATAATTATTTAAATCAATAAATAAAAGGGTATATTATTGAGATCTGTATGAAAGACTAGCATGAGTTCTGTTCATACAGGTATCTGCAGGAGGTGGGTTACACTGACACTGTACTGGATGTGAAGTCAAAACGAGTGCGAGCTTTATTGGGCCTCTCAAGTGATGCATCAGACAGGGAAAATGACAAAAATCAAGAATCAATGGTAAATGGTACAGAGGCTGAGATTAAAGAAAACGCCATGATTGGGTAAGTGCCTAAGACAACAAATGTTATCTTTGTGTATAAGTGCAAATTATTATTATTATTATAAATCTAGTTTATGTTCATTTGAAAACTTATTCTTTTTAGTCTTCAAACTGACTGAATATTTCTAGCCAATTCTATTTTAAAATTTTAAAGGATGAATATGGAAGCCACGCTTCACTAAGTGTATTGCTTCTTTATGAGAATCTTAATTTTATTTCCATTGGAAGGTGACATTAGGAAATCAAACCTTCTGATTTGTGATACATCTGTTGTTAAATGCTTAAGAGAAAATACCAACTGCCAGGGTCAGCTTTTTCTTTGGTTTATTGGAAACCTTAATATAGATTAGAGGCCTCTGCATTCTGGTAGATAGTGCTTACTGTTATAACAGTATAATCTCTAGTAAGCAGAGGATTTTATTTATAGTATCTGAAAACATTTTGAACATGGATAAGTTTTAACTGTTATAACTCTCCAACTTTGTCACTGGTGTTTACATGGATAAATATGTGAAATTCTGGGTATACTCTCAGTGTAGCTTCCATATGCTCATGCCAATCCTTTTTTGATATATTTCTAATACTGTTGCAAATGTGGTACAATGAGTCAAATTGAGCAAAGTTCAATGCTTATGCTTAGGCTTTGCCAGACTTAATTATTTTTAAATTTGATGGATAATACTGATTGATATTTAAGTATTGATTTAATTTTTATTGATTTAAATTTTCACAGGTTTGGGAAATTATGGTGTGTTAGGCAATGTGGTGGTGCGGGGACAATTAATGACAGTTGACATTGAGATTGAAAAAGTTACAGCTTTATAACCATTAAAACACACTGTCAAGATTTTAGACTTAGATTAAACTTTAAGTTCTCAAGCACAATTTTTCTTTCTTTGCCTATTTGTAAATTTCAATTATCCAGGAAAATATTTTTTCGCTGGTTAGTGTGTATACAGTGAAATTGACGTTTATCAACATTTACCAATAAAAATCTAATCCTTTCAAGTTGACTTCTGTTTTGTTTACTAATATTTTGCTGAAAGTATTGTAAATAAACTTTTTAATCTTTTTCTTGCCACACTTACTACCATTAATATCTGAAGCTCACTTTAGGTGTTCAGCAAAATTATTCCTTGGTTCTTGACTGAAATACTGTAGCTTTTGAAGAGCTTAAACTAATAAAAAGGATGCTGAATCATTTTAATTAAAAATGTGTGACTGAGCTCTGTACTTCCATAGGTGGTAGTATCCCCAACAAGCAGTAGACCCTTGTTTGTCTAGGATTGGCCTCTTGTTTCACAAGCAGGTGTGGTTTAAATGTAGCAGAGGTAGTGTCCTTTTCTTCTGAAGTATAACTGCTTTATGTGGCACCTAATCGCCAAAGGGAGTTCACAATAATCCCAGCCAGTAGATGATTGTACTGGCCTCAGGCATGTGTGCAGAGAAGTTACTTAATTAACTCATTTTCATTCTATAATTAAAATTATTCTGTTAAATGAGGAATTAGGGCATATGAGGGGACCCCAACCTGTTAAATTATTTTGTACTTCTAAATAGTTAGTAAACCTTGCCCTGAGGAGGACATCCTCTGGTTGGCAAGGGCTGCTGCTGCTGGGGCACCTTTTAAAGTCAGCCTTGCTGCTCTGAGATAGTAACCTAATGGAATTGACTATTTGTTGTAGAAAACTGATATTGGGTTTGGCAGATATATTATTCTCCCTTTCTATATTTATCCTCTTTATTTCTCTCCTATGATAGTTTTTCATTTTTGTTCCAGCCTTGAAGAAATAGTGAGTTCTGACGGCATATGTAGCTTTCAGTTTGGGAGGTGTGAATGATTTGTTTGAGGTAAAGTGGGAGTTAAGCTCCCTCTCCCTCCTTTTGTTTTACTTGAGATTAGTGGAGTGTCATTTTCTATTAGTTTGAATGGAAGAGAGCTCCAGATAGGGAGATATGTAATGGGTAAATTGGATTGAATGATAGAGCTGAGCTAGGACATTTAAAGATACCTGTTAGGAAGATGCTCATTAGAGGAGATAGGCCTTAGAGTTGGTGGCACCAGATACTTAGTTTTGCCTCCTTCAGCAACTCAATTCTCCTTTTTGAGAACTATGCATGTAGTGGGGGTGTAACTGTTCCTTCAGATTTCTTCTCCATAAGCTTTGACCTTACAGAGTTAGGTCTGTTTTGAATAAGGATAGAGACACAAGGTGGGTGAGGTAATATCTTTTATTGGACCAACTTCTGTTGGTAGAAGAGACAAGCTTTTCAGATCACCCAAAGAGTAGCTCTGTGTAGCTTGAAAGCTTCTCTCTTTCACCAACAGAGGTTGGCTCTCTAATATCTGGGACCAGCACAGCTACAACAAAAACTTGAATAAGGTTAACATTTGCATTTGCAGGCTATTTCTGGCTGTGAGTGTTCAGTGATCCACCAATTATCTGTCATTCTAGAAGACTTGTAGTTGCAGGATTATGGTATTGCATTTGCAATCTGAGAAATTGCGATGTTCTCATCTCACTTGTAATGCACAGGGTCACTAACTGCTGAGAAGAGTTGAGTTGAGCATCTGGGTGTTTCATGTGTGTGGAACATGACAAATGTTTATGGTTCAGTTTGTGTATAGACCCTCAGTTATATGAGGATTTCATGGTGGAGTACTCTGAGCTTGTTTCTGCATTCTTCAAATTACTCTGTGTTTGCAGATGTCAGCTCAGAGCTCTGGTTTGCCTCTTCTTAGAAGTGAAGGATGTCAGGGTTTTACCAAAGGATCGCGAAGAACTCTTGCAGGGCAGAGTGTATAACTAGCCACATGTGAATATTTTGGATTGTAAGGTATATGTGCATAGGAGATCAACCATCATATCATATATTTCAGTGCAGGAGGTATTCCATACTTCTCTCCCTTTATTTCAGTCCTGATGGGCTGCACGGCCTGTCTGCTTCCTCAACCTCTTGAAGAGCACCAGTGCTGAGTACGTGATTGAGATTAAGGGCAAGCAGGATGAGCCAAGTCCTAGTCAGAATATTTGTTCAGCCTTCAGAGACTTGATACTGTCAATCCCTACACCCAAGCAAATCAGCCTCTCAGAGTATTTCTACACTGCAATTAAAAACCTGCGGCTGGCCCGTGCCAGCTGACTTGGGCTAAGGGACTATTTAATTTTGTGTAGATGTTTAGGCTTGGGCTGGAGCCTGGGTTCTAGGACCCTGAGGGGTGGGAGGGTCCCAAACTCGAACACTGCAATTAAATAGCCCCTTAATTCGAGTCAGCTGGGACGGGCCAGCTGCGAGTGTGTAATTGCAGTGTTGACATACGCTCAGAAACACTTCTGCCTAAATTGTGGGAAGAACTGGGGCAAAGTTTAGATGGCCCAGCTCACTCTCTAGTGGCCCAGAGGAAAGAGTACCCAGAGTGAGGCACCGCATTAGTCCCAGACAGTTTACTTCCCCAAGAGGGGGAAAGAATAGGGGACTTCAATCACCTGCACCTCCTCCCCGCATCCATGGTGTATGGAGAGTTGGTGGAAGGTTATGAAGCCAGAATAAGCTTGTGATTGGGGGCAGGAGGGAGACAATGCCTGAAGGCATCTGAGGTGGTAGTGTTAGTAGTAGAGAAAGAAGCGATTGGAGGGTGCTGTGATAGAGGGTATGCGGAAGAAGAGCAAAAGGAAATGACAGAGAAGAAGAAAAGAGAATTGATGGGAACTCTGAGACAGATTGAGAAGGGATGGAAAAGAACATGGGTGAAGGAAGTAAAGACCACAAACTAGGGAAAAAGAGGGATTTTGAAAGGTACAGAAGGAAAGAAAGGAAACATGCTACAGTTTGAGGGGAAATGATGCCCAGATTTCAGAGTAAAAGAAGGGGAAAGCACAGAGGACACACTAATTTATATTAAAAAAAATCTTTAAAACAATATAACAATATAGAAATTTACAGAAAGAGCAGATTGGCCAAAGTGACTACCACAGTATGTGCAGATGTAATGTTGGGAGGAAATCTCAAGAGTTAAACACTTAAAGCTACAGTATGGTCATTACTTAGATTTTAAAAAGTGGAAAATGTGTCTTTTATTATTATGGGAATGTAAGTTGTTAGTAATAAGCAAATACCATTTCAGTTTGTATTAAATGAATATTGTAGGAAAGGTGGTACAAAAACTGGAGGACGCCAAGTAAAGACCTGTTAGCCAGTGAAATGTAGACCTTGGATACAGTAAAATAAGATGCGATGCTAAAGGGGCTTCTGTAATGTGATAACTTATAACTTTTCTCAGGACTTGAACAGGTCTAGACTACCTTCCTATTACGTAATAATGTTACAGTAAAAGTACACATAAATAATTGATTTGTAATCAAGGTGGATAAAAATCCATTGTTTATGAAAAGATAGAATTATTAATTTTTTTAAAAATATCTTTTTTTAAAATAAATCTGCTTAAAGGAAATCTGAATTTAATACAAAATATGTTGAGGCCAAAACTTACTATATTCTCTTAAAACATCTAAATAAAAAATAAGCGTGCTGGATCCATGAGCCTCTATCAAAAACTGAGTTAAAGGCTGCTTTTCTATATAAAGAAAGATGTCTCCCTGTTTCTAGCTTTTGAGGTCAAGCTTTATTAATATGGCACAATAAGTCAGCCTAAGTAACTCATTTTGAAGAGTCTTAGGCAAGTAGGGAATTACGTTCCAGTCATTTTCACTTAAGCATATTGGAAAATTTTCCTAGGCTGACCTGAAATAATCAGTTTAATTCACTGATTGCAGTTAGTCCATCTGTTTAATATATCATTTAAATGTAAATGTGAAATGTGTTAAATTTATATATCCAAAACATTTAAGGTTGTTCTGAATAATAAAAATAAATTTTATGTGCTGTTTTGTGTGTTTAAATTCCAATTATCATCCTAATACGGCTTGACACACATCATGACCAAAAAGATAATTATCCCGTAAAGGAAAAGAACAGCTTGGATAAACACCTGTCAGGGAT